TACTTATTAATTGTGACAGAGAATGCACTGTTGAAGAAAGATATTAATGTGGTCCATCTTGTAATCAACATTGCAGTTGAAACAGTCATCTGGTTATGAAGCAAGGATCCCAGAGGTGAAACGAAGGGCAACCACCTGGACACAGCACACTTACCTCAAATACGTGTCATCATGTCACCACAACCCGAACTGATGCAATTAGGGTACGTAATGCTGTGTAGTGATCAGGGGTGATAAGGCAGTTATCATTTGCATCAGAATCATAACATTTCTTCTGAAAGTTTTTGAATTGATAAACTGCTTGCCTTTACCTGGTCCCAGAGCGTTTGTTCATGTCATCATGAACTACTTATTAATGAACGTAGCTTCTCTCTCTAGGAAGCATTAGAGCTGGACATTTGAGGATGTCCCATCGCCTCCTCGAATGGCCTGCTCAGTGAAGTAGGGGTGCACATGACCAATGGGGACTCCACCACAGCCAGCCTGCTTGCTGATTTTCACCCAAAATGTCTCCTCAGAGACCTAGTGAATATTTCCTGAACGCCATTTAGCTCAGTGTCTGGGACGGAAAGCCATCTTTGTCCTCCGGCCTATATTTTGGGTACATTATTATCTTGTTCTGGACTCACTCTCCTCTCTACAAACATGGTATCACTCTCTTGACTCTTTCCCTTCCTCCTCAGCCTGTAGAGGAACCGTGCACTCTACCTTCTAAGAGCATGTGCAGGGAACTGCATGGTTGGCATACGGGAAAAGAAGACAAGGGGACTGCACACGCATCCAGGTGGGGTTGCAGGTCACATGTGGTAGAAAGAGATAATTAAGAGCTATTTTGTGCCATCCTCAGGGGGTTATTCATAGGTTGTGAGCCTGAAATTGAGGGACAACTCCGGAAAAAAAATAACAAAACAGACGGTCTTGCTGAAAATATAGGGTTTCCCAGATGTTAAACATGCAGGCACCGTCACTATGCAGAGAGAACAATACAGAGTGATTCAGACCAAAGTGGCCAATAATGGTTTTTAGTCCCAAATTGTTGAAGCACTTGTTGGTGGGGAATTAGTTTATTCAGCTGGCCTCATGATGTGGGTCAACTAAGGGGCTGTTTTGTGGGGTGAAAACTAACAGCTAATCCTTTGCTGAATGCTGTACATACACACACACACACATAGGCACATCACCGCCACCTTGTTTAATTCCCAAAACAACGTAGTAAGTAAGAATTACTGTATCCCTTGCAGACAGACAAATGGAGAATTATGTCATTTCCCAATATGGCTCAGTTAATACATAGGAGAGCTCGGCATCTAACATTGCTTCTCTTGACCAGCACACTTCACGTGGAGCAGCAGATGCGGGGTTTCGGAATGGCAGCTATTTGCTAAAGAGAGAGGACGCTCTTGAAAGTAGCTTGAGCATTATAAAAGCAAATACTGCTTGAGCATTTACTCATTTAGTTCAACTGACCTTTTGGAAGTGCATATTCTTGCTATTTCCCATGTTAGAGATAAGGAAACTCAGAGACGTAAATCGATCAAAGTCATTGTGGAAGAGCTTTCTATGCTGTCCAGTATGGGACCACTGGGCACTTGTCGATATTAAAGTTTATTAAAATTTATTAATATTACATAAGAGTAAAACTTCAGTTCTCATTTGCAGTGGCCGTTTCCAAGTGCTCAGGCGCCACATGAAGCTAGGGACAACCGCACTGAGCTAGACCGTTCCCACCAACCCAGATGAGTCTACTGGACAGTGTCGCCAGGTCATGACCTGCCGTAAGAACTTGGAAATCTGGATGCAGAACTCTACTCTCAGCCTCTCACTGAAATTAATGAAACAGAACAAATGGCACAGGCTGGAGTGAGACCAAGAAAGCAGAGCGCAGCTAGCAAGCTATGGCACTGTCAAAGAATTCTCCTTTCCTCCAAGATTAGGAGACTCGTGAATAATAATAATCGTAACAGTAAAAGTAACATCTATTCACATTTTTACTTCTGTTTGCTGGGGAACTGCCATTATTGCATTTAGTTTCCATGACACCCTATATACTAAAGTACTAAATATACTAATATATATTTTACAGATGGGAACCCGATCGCCGTCAAGATTAAGTGACTTATCCATGAAGATAGACTAGTAGGAGAAAGAGCCATTACTCAAAGCCTGGTGTTGACTGCACATCAGGAGCCAATACGCGGAGAATCTGAGGGACCTTTCTGACAACGGCTGTTACCAGCGTGGGCCTGGGAATGGGTTCACATACAATAGCTCAGGACAGACCATGAGAAAGCAGGACTCACTCAAGACCTGTGGCTCAAGACATCGTCTCCAATGAGAACAGAACCTTGCCCAAATAAGATCACATGTGTGAGTATGTGTGAGCGTGTGTGTCTGCATGAGTGTGTGTGTATGTGTGTGTAGTGTTACATTTATTGGGTGAATCTTTATAAGCTCTGTCTATAGTACTATTTGTATTCTTTTCACCTAATTTATTTTCTACAACTATCATCAAAAAAAATACTCCTTCCTGTATTGAAAACCGTGCATTCCCAAACTAAATTTATGAAAATGACTGGAAGAATTGTTAGAGCTGCTGCACAACTATCATCTTGATAGAAGCAGGGACATAAATAACAACTGAAGAAGGAGCATTCTTGCTTTGTATACTTCGCAAGCAAACACGTAACTACTGCTCTGGGTGAGAGCCTTGCGCTGTGTGCCGGGAATTTGGTGAACTTCATTGAAATGGCCTTGACTGCATGGCGCATGCCAATAGGTGTGGCACACACTTTCTATCAAGATCACACAGAGAACGGAGGAAATGATGCTTGACTGCCACCGTCTAAGTCAACAGCACACTCGTCTTGTCAGATGTCCCCGTTGACATGCTGTTGTTTTGATAATGTAATAGATATTTCAGGGATGAAAGTCAACAGAAATATGTTGTTTCATCGTCTTTTTTAGGGGTGAGAAAATGGAGGAAGACCTCGAGACTGGCTAACTTCATTTTATCCTGCAGACGAAATCGTGAATGGAAGCTGAAGTACACACATAATCACACACACTGGCACACACACTCTCACAGACTCATCACTGTATTAGTCCGAACATCAAGAAAGTTGGAGTTTCAACCTCAAGCCCAGCAGCGCGAGATGAGATATAAATTGAACCAATTAGAAGAATATATTAGAAGAATAAGTGGGACATTACGAATGAATGATCAGCATCAATTCCTCCATCTAGTCACATGAATCATTCTCTGCGATCGTATTCCTCACGCTTATTCAGTGAATGGAAGTGATAGATACAAACACTAGCAAACCGGAAGAGATTTGCTCAGTGCCTGGCAACCCACGGCTTTCAAAGGCAACAACCAGAATAGAGTCTGTCCCAGATCTTCAAGAAAAGGCTTTGAATAATGTATGTGACACTGCTTTGAGAGTTAAAAATAAGTGTGGTGCAGGCAGTAGAAGGTGGTACTTAAAATACATTATCTAGTGGGACAGACGGAAAGGCAAGAAGGAATCCGTCACTTTAGAAGAGTGACAGTCACTTGAAATATAGCAAAAATCTTGACGACCACAATGCTTATCTAAGGGAATTCTTTAAATCATGATAGAAGGCAGAGTCCCAACAGGTTCAGCTCAATCTCACAGATTCTAGAATCGACAGTGCAACTTGTGTGATCTAGAATTCACCCTCAGGCTCTCAGAAAACACTAGATATGAAAAGCAAGCAAACAAATGAGCCCAAGGCAAGAACAGATCAATAAACCAATTAAAAACAAGAATTCTGGGTGAGGAGTGGTTGGTGGGGAGAGTCAGGACCTTCTGGAACAGAAGCCAACCCAGATATTCTGGTCTATTCAGAGGATAGGGAAGCTCCGATTGGATCTGGATGTCTAGGAAGGCTGCATTTTTTTCTTGTCCGAAAATAGCAGGTTTTAAAGGGAGACAAGTTATAAAGAAATAAGACTCTCTGTGAGAAGAACAATGGCAGAGAGAAGTTGTGGTGGTCTTGTGGGCCATGGGGAACCAGGATATGGACTGTCGCTGTCCATGGGAACCTTCACAATGTTGGAAATGTCCTTTTATGCCAACAGTTTGGCACCCATGAGCCACATGTAGACGAGGAGCCCTTGAAATGTGGCTGGTATGATTGAGGAACTGAATGCTCTCTTTTATTTAATTAAAAAAATTTAAATAGCTCCATGGAGCCAGGGGCCACTATATTGAACAGCTCAGATACACACTCTTCCATTTGTAAAAATTTTAAACAAAGTGTAACAATTCGATTGTTCACTTCATTAGTGTTTATCATGAGCCTATACCATATTAACTCCTCTACAAAGCACGTAACTTGCAATATTCTTATGCTGGGACGGTACGGAACTTCTTTCAGATAATCCACTTTTCTGTCCAGTGAGAAAACATTCTTAATGTGAGTGGGGTGAATGTTCCTCAAATTTCTCCTATATATTTCTGCCTGTCGTGAGCTGAGTTTCTAGAAACTCTGGCTGTTGAATGATAAGCCCATCGTATTGTTATGGATTACTCTTGCATAGATTGGCAGGAAATAAAAAAAATTGGGGGAGCTATCTTGACCCACATTTAAGAAGAAATTTGTACAGACCCAAATAATGTGCATAAAAGCATTAAGAAATTATAACTATTTATACACATTAGCATTAGAAAATGCAACCAACGTTGTACTTCTGGTCCCTCCTTATGCCAAACAGCTACTTTAATGTTTTCTATTCGTATAGTGCAATTTATTTTCTTTTCTCTTTTTTCCTTTCTTTTTTCCCGTCCAGCCTTTTCTCTCTCTCTTTCTCTTTCTCTCTCTATGTTTGTGGGACGGGTGGGGGTATGTCTGCCTGGCCTCACATTCAACTACTGGGTCATGCTTTGGGGGTATGGAAATCATGCCTGCGGTCATGTTCACAAACTTTGGATGCACTACAGAATCTATTTTTGTTTTCAGGGAACAATGTTGACAAACAGTTCCCATAGGCCGACTTTCCTGAAGCCGGTGGTGTCAGGTTTCGGCAGTGGTGCCTTTGCAACATTGCAGTAAGAGCAGCAAGGGTCTGCAGCAGCAACAGGAACCAGTTCTGAGCTGTGAATGCAGTGGGGTTTCCCCTGCAGCTTCCACCCATCCTGCCTTGGACATGCAGGCTCAGAAGTTACGGGGCAAAGAGCACTTCTTACTGCACATGTCACACTGCGAAATCAGGTGAGTCCTTCGATTTCCGTGCACAGCAGGCATGGGGAGCCCTTCTGGGGCAATGCCAGAATGGTTGAAACCATTGAATTTTCCCAGTTGTGGTCATGTCTGGTGGGCTATTTGCAGGAGCTGCTTTCTGAAGCCCCTGCATCCTCTCCTGCCGCCTTCTTTCATCTCACTTTGTAGCCGCTTCTCAGCTTCCAGAGCTGAATTTATAAGGATACGTGGATTTAGCAAACGTTGACTATTTGGCAAAACCCTTCTTCTAGGTGGAAAGTGAACTAGAGAAGGGATGGGGAAAATGTTTAATGAGTGACTAGGTCAGGCTGAGGAGCAGAATTAGAATCAGTGTCTGAGTCGGCCTCAGGAGGGGAGATGGGAGAGAGACCACCACAGCACAACACATGGCTGGCTCAGTCATTTGATTTCCAGTGTTCCAAATACACTGAAACTGCTATAGAGCAAACACTTCTTGAATCCAGTATCAAAACTGTGGGAGACAGCAGTCAAAGCAACAGGATTTATGTCATTTAGAAAAACTTCGCTGAAATTTTTTTAGAAATTTCGACAAAGCAAGGTCTACCCTGACCACATAGCAATTGGTGTGGCATATAAAATAATGTTCCATATAAAAATCAATAACTTCCTTAATGTGATGAAATAGAATGTATACCAATAATCAATTAACAAGTGTACTTTGATCTATCTTTTATGTCTAAATCAATATGTCTCATGGTTTTGTGTTGTCCAGTGCTTGGCCCAAAGTGAGCATACAGATATTTGTTGAATGAATAATATTTTAATTTATTATAATTATTATTCCCAAACAAATTGCTAATCTCAGTCACTGGCTTTCTTAGGTGGCTCTTTCTTCCTTTGAAACTTTGTTTCTTCATTCATAGAAGTATTCTTTCTCTAATGTTTTAACACCTCGAAGGGTATGAGACCAAAATAGCATTCAATTAAGATCAACTTGTTTGCTATTTTTAATATTATTGATGTATTCTTCCCACAACAATTATGTGCGATATATAGGTCAGGCAGAATGATGCTCCTTAGCCAGGGAAGGCAGATAGAGATTTAGTGATTTTCTAAAGGCGCATAACTTGTTGGACCATGATCTCTATCTTCTGGTCGCTAGCCCAGGGCTGATGCATCGTAAATAGTCGTGGTGCATCTGTCCCAGCAGAACTCTGCAGCTCAGAGAGGAAGGCTGGAGTCCACCCTTCAACAAAGACCTGTTGTCCAAGAGGAAAATTCAACACACATCACATCCCAAAGCCTTAATTTCCCCAGGAGCACAGAATCATTCTGCGTGTTCCAAATCCTTATCTGTAAAATACTTCTATATTTAGAGTTGCCAGAAGGCCTCGGCTGAACGATCATGATTAGATTTCAGTACACAAACTCACCTCATATTTTCTCAAACTTATGAAAGGATCTGTCATGCACAGGGTGAAGGAACACAGGAGCTTTACTCAGATGCCCAAATTTTAGTCTACCTGGCTGACTAGTGCATTTCATTTCATCAGCCAGTGATAGGAATCATAACTTCGTTCAGCTTCAAACATTGAAACATTTGGATCTTAGACAAAAGAAAGCAATGTATTTCCCATCAGTATTACGGTTAGGGTGAAATTTGTATTTTCATGGCATATAGGACTTTCACAATATTAATCTTTCTGAAAAAAAAAAGCCCATGTTTGCTCTCTCAATAGAGCATGACTTGATCCTTGCGCCATCGTCCGTATGTTCATACAGCACGTACTGCATCAACTCAGTGTTGACATGTGGGTTTTTGTACCCTGAACTCTCATGTAGGCATGGTGAACACTGCACAAAAATACACACACACACACACACACTCAAAACCTTCTTTTAATTCAGCAGAATGTAGTCTCTAGTGAGAGAGCAGAGTTTGTGTGTGTGTATGTGTATAAAGCTAGAAAGTAGAAATGAAATAAAGACAGACACGGTAGTTAAACTTCCACGATACACATTTTCAAAATTTTAAGCAAGTGCAGTATTTCAGATAGGCTTCCTTGAGAAGCGGATCTCAGCGCATGTTTTAAAGAAATCATGGACTTTATGTGGCTTTATGGTAAATGAAAGGAAAGGACCCTCAATGAGTAAAGGTTTGCCACTTTTTAGGGGTGATTAGTTAGACTGAATGACAGTTCAGATGAATCGCGGTTCACCCTCTGGGGAGAGAGTGTGAAGAGTCCCAGACTTGGGATCAGAGCACCCAAGTCTCTGATGGGTAACCGTCCAGTGGGCAGCTGGAACGATGTGCAGCCTCCACTCACCGTCTCCTTGGTGACCTGAGGAGGACCCAGAGCTCTCACTGTGAAGGACTATAGATCAGATTCACCTACGGGCATGTTTTCCCCGGAGAGTTGTAAAGAATTTTGAGTTAACAACTAAATGTGGAGACACCCATTCTGGGCTCTCTTGAAAAAATGGGAAGATCTAGACCGTGAACCTACCTTTTCCCATGGATTCTAGACTCTGGAGCTGAGTGATGCTGCCCCGTGGGAGAGCCAGCTTCTCCAGGTCCCACCACCGGCACCCCACACTGAAGTCCCACGTGAGTTACCATTGGCCGTCAAGCTGCCATGTTCGTGTTTGTTATTATGGAACTATTTTGCTGAACATATGTCTACCCAAACTGGGAAAATGAAACATAGATTAAGAGAGACATTGATTTTTCTCATACTGACTTATACTGTCAGGCTGGCCTCTGAAGGCATGTGAGGTGGTGGTGAGTTGAGCAGTCTCTATGATTAAAAGTCTGATCTATTACAATGCTCTCAAAGTCCCCATCTGCACCTCTTGGCCTTAACCTTGGGCTCACTTTGCTCTAAGCACTGAGTCTCGAGTCTCCTTGCCCTCCTCAGCCCTCTGACAATGCCTACCTTCAGGGTGTTGATACCAATAATACCATCTGGCAGGAAGAGCAACCTTCCTCCTCACCTTGGGTCACAGACTGTTTATCTGCTTGAACTCTATTTTGTTGTCCACACCCAGCCTATTTTCAGAGTAAACTTAAGTGGTTTTGTTTCTACTCACTCTTGGCAAATGCCACCTTTCAGAGATTTGGAGCTCAGTGGCATTATTGGTAAACAACCTACAATGTTTGTTTGATTGTTTTTGTTCACTTTTAAGAAAAACCTCTAGAATATTAATCCTGTTCAGCAGCCTTGAAAATCACAGCCCCTTGAATGGTACTTAGTTATAAGATTGGGACAAACTTTGACTTTGGGGGAATTTGGTGGCGTGGAAGCCCACAGCCCACCGACTTTGAGATTCTTCATGACAAGGCTGGAACTTGATGGTTTCTCTACCATCTGAGAAGACACTAGGGGAGAGAAATTATTCATGAGACTATTTAGTTGACTGAGCCTAACGTCATGGGGAGGATCTGCCCAGGCAGCGACTGAGCTCTAGGAGAAGTGGGGAAGGGCCCGTGGAGTCCACAGGGCCCTGGGGAGGAGGATGGGCACCCTCCCTTGATAATCTCCCCTGGTGAGTGGGCTGCCCAATTGCAGGCCCAGCTGACAGCTCACACTCACCACACTGGGGCTCATACAACACTGCACCCCGAGGCCTGCTTACTGCAGGGACCACGAGCCATGTGGCTTCGTGATAATATTTTTAAAATTAGTCACAAGTCTCTTGAGTTAAGCAATGTTTTCTATTATACCTCAAAACACAAATGAAGTGGCGCACACACTAATAAATGGAGTCACAAGGCAGTCATATTCCCTTGGTTAAGTTCCAAAAACAGTTGGAAGGAAATCTGAAGATGAAATGTAGAACAATATTCCCTTTTTACATTTTGAGCTGTGCATTTTATTGAAATAAGGATCAAACAGTGATTTCAGAATTGTGAAGATCTGGTCCAAATGCCAGGTGGTGTGACTAGGTGGTGTGACGTGGTCTGTAAGGAATGGGGTGACAAAAGTAATTTTTTAAATCTGCTATTTTCCAATAGCTAATTCAGTGACGAAAGTCAAATAAAATTTTCATTTATTTTTAGGATAAAAGGCATTTTTACATTTTATGTATATTTCTTGGAAAAAAAATATATGTATATACATCAGTAGTTCTTGATCAAGTAGAGGAGATTTTGCCCCTCAGGACATATCTGGCAGTGTCTAGGGACAGCTGTGGTTGTCAGAACCAGGAGCGGGGGTGCCATGCGCATCTAGTGGGTGAAGGCCAGGGACACTGCTAAACATCCTAGAACACACAGGGCTGTCGCCACAGTCAAGAACCATCTGGCCCCAAATGATGTCAGAAGTGCTGAGGTTGAAAAGTCCTGACAAACGCGTGTGTGTATAACATATGTGTGTATATGTATATCTGTATATATGCAGTTATATATATGTGAGTATATATCTATGGATATACATACACATATAAATACGTATATCTAATATATATGCTTACAGATATCATATGTACGTCATATATATATATACACAGTCGTGCGCCATGTAATGACATTTCAGTCAAGAAGACACTGCGTAGATGATGGTATTCCCATAAGATTAGCGGCACAGAGCCTACCTGTGTAGAAGGCTATACCGTCTAGGTTTGTGTAAGTGCACTCTGTGATGTTCACACAACAACGAAATCACCTAAGGACACATTTCTGAGAACGGTTCCCCATCGTGAAGCAACACTCGATTGTGTATATATATATGCCTGTGTATATATGTATATATACACACACATATGTACATATATTCATATATAGGGGGAAGAGCGGGGAGACTTGGTGGTTCCATTTATTTGTCTACGGATCCACAAGAAAGTACTAAGTTCTGTTTTCTGTTTAACCAAAATATCCTGATGTTCCAAAAACACAGAGAGTAAGAATAGAAGAAATACAAGAATCTTTTAGTTCCAGAAAGACTCAGGAGAGTCCTCTAAAAGCCCAAGGTAAGAGCACTGGGCCGAGAGGCTCAGCATCCCCCTCTGCTTCTGCATCTGCCACCTGTTTGGGGAACTCTCACCTGTGACCCTCGGATGCTGCACTTTTAAAAGGCAAATAATGAGCATCAAATTGAAAAAAAATACAGGGGTCACTTTCTAAACCCAAAAGTGCTTTATAAACAAAATATTAGAATAATCGGTGAATGAGGAAAGCTCAAGGACAGGGTTTAATAAAGAACTAGACTGACAATGTCACCAAAGAGTAAGACAATCTCAGATAGTCTTTGTTTTTTCCCAGAGCTATTTCTAAAATGAAATTTGCTGGAAGACTTTTGAACTTCCTTTCAATTTTTCTGCAAAAATTTTAAAAAGCAAATTTATTGCTAGCAATAATTTTTTAAAAACCCTGTCTTGACTACTGTGTTTGACTTCCCTTCTGTTTAATTTCAGCCAGAGGCCTCTCAGTCTGGCTCAGTGCTTGAGCTGCCCTCTGCGAGACACCCACAGCGCACCCCAGCTGAACAACTACAATTAAAATTGCCAGGTCGTCTCCTTCTGTCACAAAATAAAATGTGTTTTCATGAGTTTTGCATCACAAAATCCCCCCTTCTTGCATTTTTAAGGTGAAATTGTAATTACATTCTAACACAGTACAGACTTTTTCATTAACAAATTCACTTGGTTTTTCACGTGGGGTTGTATGTGGTCTCTCAGATATCTTGGTAGTCTGAACGTCACATTCTTAACACCAGGACCTTCACCAGGAGGGGTAACTAGAGCGTCACAGCCAGAGCAGATGTCCCAGGGACCATTAAATCATGGGGTGTGACCCAGAGCTTCCTGCACAGAACCACCAAATGGCAAGGGAGACTGATGGAAGCCAGAACCAAGATCAAAGCCAAAATCAGAGACCGTGGAGCCATTATTAGAGGTGGAGTGGCTTCGAGGAGAGAGGAACTGGGAAGAGGTGGCCATTAGCATCAAAGACACCAAGGGACCAGCACCCAATGCAGCTGAAGGCAGGATGGCTGGGGGCTGAGTGTGAGCACCCAACTGCACTGTCTACCTGCCCATCTTGCCTGGACACCGAATTACCCTGACTTCGCTTCCTCAAGGCCCTGTGGGTGAAGAAGGGGCCGGGGAAGGAAGGAAAAGATGGTTTTTCTAATAGTGAGCCCACAGAGACAAGCAAAGACACGAACCCAAACTGGCTGGTTATTTATTCATGAAGTCATTCATTTATAGTTTTCTGTATCTAAATTCCAGCTAAAATCTCATGGTTAATAATCATACAATCATGCAAAAGCCCTCGCTGAAATGGGATGGTCTTTACTTGAGAAGATATAATATACATATTTTCAAGCGAGATTGTTTTTCTCCTTTGTTGGGTTCCTTTCCACAGGTTGCAGAGGACTTTCCACGAAGCATGGCATAGCAACGTGTCTGGCCCGTCATGATTGCTGTACCGGAGCACGACCTGCTCTGGGGCCATCTTTGGCCTGTAGGCGGAGAGCACTGTTGCGTAGCTGGTTTGATGGATGAACTCCTGGGAAGATTTACTCTGCCTTATAATGTTGCCCATCACTGATGCCTCAAAATCCACACCGGGAAATATTCAGTCCAGCAAACAGCTAGTAAACAGCATGTCCTGAAACCAGGGAGGAACACATTACTTCTCTTTTCTCCTTAGCAGCTGCCAGGACTAGAAAGGCCTCTCACCGATAGGAGATATGAGAGAGCTGTGACCTCCCGCTGCAAGGCTTTTGTCCCCTTCACACATTACACTCCTGGCTTTGTTTTTGTTTTTTAAAGTAAGGCTTTAGTTTTTAGAGCAGTTTTAGGTTCACAGCAAAACTGAGGGGAAAGTACAGAGATTTCCCATTTTCCCCTCTGCCCCCATATACACACAGCCTCCCCCATTATCAACATCCCCCATCAGAGTGGGACATTTGTTAAAGGAATCTATATTGACATGTCGTTATCACCCAGAGTCTGTAGTTGACATTATAGCTCGCTATTGGTGTTATACATTCTGTGGGTTTGGACAAATGTATAATGACATGGATCCACCATTATGGTATATAGAGTAGTTTCACTGCCCTAAAAATCTTCTATACTCCGCCTATTCATCCCTCCCTCCCCAACCCCTGGCAACTACTGATCTTTTACTGTCTCCATAGTTTTGCCTCTTCCAGAATGTCCTGTAGTTGGAATCATGCAGGATGGAGCCTTTTCAGATTTGCTTCTTTCACTTCATATGCATTTAAAGTTCCTCCCTGTCTTTTCATGGCTTGATGGCTCATTTCTTTCTAATGTTGAATAATATCCCATTGTCTGGGTGGACCGTAATTGATTTATCCATCCACCGACTGAAGGTCATCTTGGTTGCTTCCAAGTTTTGACCATTATGAATAAAGTAGTGCTTTTAATGAGCAAATCAAGCAGCACCTCCCAGGCTCTTCTGTCAAGATGGCCTCACTGACAAAAGTGACAGGAACCTGGTAGAGGTCACGAGGTGGTTTGGGGCTGTCTGTCTCAACAGACGATAATGTCTAGCAGTCTTCTATTCTATCCTAATATTTCTGGCAAACTTGCATTCTAATCTATTTTTTATTATTAAAGCATAATAATTGTACTTTTTTGTTATCGAAAATTCTATCTTCCCCAAAGCCTCCAATTATTTGACTGTTGGGGGGCAAGGGAGGGGGGAGAGAATTCTTTCTTCTCCAGAGTTAGTTTTTCAGATAGAATTCAATTACACCTTGATATTCCAAAATTATCATGATTAAATCAAAGAACAAAAGTATTCAGATGCCAAGTGAACATGCAAATACACCTCCACAAAACAAAACAAAACCCCTAAATCATTGAGAAGCAAAATGGGCTCTTAACTTCAATCCTAAAAGGAAAGCCTCAGGGCACCCATTTTATTATGGATTTTAGTCCATCTGACTTGAATGGACATTTTCCTTCTGAGTGAGGACTTTGGCAACCCATGAGTCAGCATTTCACGCAATTAATTGAAAGCCACTTAGCAGACAGTGGGGTTCAGAATAACAATGTCTGGCAATCACTGTACTAATCCAAACTCAAAATCCATTTCAGAGAGGAGGGGAGGCCCATTATCACTCGCATCACCTGCTTCCTAATTACACCATAATTAGATCAGGGGTAATTACTTTGATTTCTATTATTATTGCTCAGAATACCTTAGAATCTTAGAATCATAATGTTATCAAGGAATTTAGAGCTCATCACTTTTGACTGCCTTCTTCAGTAGAGGCAAGAGAAACCAGAGATTTTAAGTGACCTGTCCAAGATAAGATCTTATAGGTATTAACACTATACAAATTAATCATTTTATAAAATAATTAATGCGCTTAATTGGGCACCAAGATCTTGAATGTAGGATGTCCACAGGTGCCTATATTTTGAGAAAGAATGCCAGCGTTTTTTCGTTTCTCTAGCATGCTCTGTTCTGGTGGCGGGCACCTTTCAATTACCTCCTACAGTTGCTGTTTGTGCACTTAGTCGGCTTCTCATCCCTGTCCCACCACCGCTGCCTGGCACGCTCATTTAAAACAGTGTCTCTATTTCATGTTTCTTTCCCAAAGTCCTGCATGGTGCCTTAACCCCACGGGGACACAGGAAACAGGTGTCAGTGAATGTGGAATACTTGCGTTCCCAAGACTCATGGTGCCCTGGACTCTGTCGTGCACTTCTCTGCCCTCTTTCTTTAAAGGAGACCCGTCCACTCAGCTCATCGCTAGTCTGTCACCTGTGCTGACTTTCTGTGACCACAGTCCCTCCGTGGGCGCACACTGGGACAGAATTACAGCCCCGTGGGCAGTACCAGCTCCAGGTCAGCGTCCCTGTTCAGAGGCAGCACATCGGTCATCCGTGGAGGTGTTGGTCATCTTAGGAAGCTGCAGTGACCCCTCCCACAAGGCCCCCGGCCACTTTTCTATCAAGGATTAAAGGCTGCAAAGCCCAGAGGAACATAGGATGCAGTGGGTGTCAAGGAGCTGTGCTTTCTCTGTCTTCCACCTAAGGACAGTTTCATGAAGTCATCAAAACAGTGTCCCCTGGGAGCAGAGCAGGAGTGGTGGGAATTCCAGGGGTGCTAGCTTTCAAGAATTACTCCGTGGAGCACACAGATTAACTGCTGAGGAAAGTGCAGCCTCCAGGAGTCAGGAAGAGAAGCCAAACAACCAGGATTCAGGGAGAAAAACACAACAACTACATCCCAAGGGGGCAGGTTCCCAGTGGCCCTGGTGGCCTGCAGACCTCTGTACCAGGCCGTCCGTCCGAGGGTCTCTGGGTGGGACGGGAGAGCGCAGACAGGGAGCTGCACTGCCTCGCAGGGACATGGTGGACTCATGGGGTGCATGCGTTTTAGGGTGCTGGGCTGAGTCTGCATTTCGAAGGCAGCCCACAAGCTGTTTGCTTAGTGAGGGCCTCTCACGAGGCTGAGAAATATAACTTTTGCAAATATGTCAGTCCCTTGGATAGAATCTTCGCAGCCTGTTAGCGAGGTTTAAAGGAAGAGGGAAACTGGTGGTTATTTTTAGAGGTGTCTTCCTCGGAGACTCTGCCTGCTTGCCCAGAATTAGCCTGAGCCTCTCTCCCCAGCCCGCTGCACTCCTCAGCCAAAGGGTTGAGAGAAACATTTTTTCTCATGCTTGGCCCTATTGCTCAAATAAATTCACCATCAAGGGTAAGTTTTTATGGACCCGTCTACAGAAAGATAAGAAATTCGACTTATAAGCTTAGATGCTTTAGGTAAGCATCTGTCCCCCCAGCAGAGAAAAGGCTTCCCCGGATGTTGTATTACAGGCAAAACCCTTTTGCAGGGGGCAAAATATTGAAGTCGGGGAGGGGCGGGACTGCCCCGGCGTTGACCACCTGTAGGAAGAGTCACACAACAGCTTCTGCGATGCTGCAGTCCAGGCTAGACAGTGAGAAGTGGCAGATGCAGGACTACCCGCTCGGGGCACACGCGGCTTGTGAGCTTTCCTCTGAGTCAGTTTCCATGTTCATCATTTCCACCTTCTATTTCGCATCTAATTAGTTTTACTGAGACATTAATACCCACCTTAGCCAGTAGGCAAACACAATTTGGTACAGTTTAGACCTTGATTATTGAAACTATATTAATTTTTGAATGTTAACCTTTCATGGTTATTAGGACTTAATTCATGAAGCTGGCAGCCACCTTGGTCGTCTTTCTGGATCAATTGGCTGAAAGACGTCTATATGTACTGAAGTAGGAAAACTGGGGATGTGGGGACAATGTGGAAAAGAGGTCAGCTGGTGAAAATTTTAGCAAATTCAACCAGGTTTTCAACACTAAGTAAAACTCGCTGTGGGACGAGTCAAGAGCCCCTGTGAGCCTTCCAGACGAATCAGACCCAGGGACCTCAAGTGGGTGGGACGGGGAAGGGTGGGGCCGTGCACCTGGGGCTGTGGAGAGAGGACATGAAAAGCAGGAGCAGCAACCAACAACCCTCACAAAGAAAAGCTGGGCTCTCAGTGGAAAGATCGAGAGCAGCGGCTTCATGGGGATGATCAGCCACCCATGGGCTCGTGCGAAGTGATGTATACATAATAGATGATATTATAGTAGTGTATAATTATATAAAACTATAACATGCAATATACACCAGCATGTATATATACATGTAATATATACATGTAGCATATATTATATAAGCCACATTATAATAGATATGCAGCATATATTATAGTAGTTATATATTACACTGTATCACATATTATAATGTATTTACATATAATATATTATAAATTAGTATATAGTATATATTACAATATATCACATATAATATAGTGTTTGGATTATAATGATATAATCATAAAAATGTGATATAATTACATAGCATAATAACATATATACAGTATAATAATATATAACCTACTTTATATCTATTATAATATATATAATGTATATAATAATACTTATAGTCAATTATAATATTCATATACAATTGTCCCTTGGTATCCATGGGAGATTGGTTCCAGGACATCTGCTGGTACCAAACCCTGAGGATGTTCAAGTCCCTTAGAGATAACGGCATAGTATTTGCATATAACCCATGCGTGTCTTCCCATATACTTTAAATCACCTCTAGATTGCTTATAAAACCTAATACAATGTAGATGCTCTGTAAATAGTTGTTATATTGTATTGTTTAGGGAATAATGACCAGAAAAACGTCTGTACAAGTGCAGTACAGACACAGCCATTGTAGACCTTGCCATCCCCAGTTGGATGAATCTACAGATGAGGAACCTATGAATATGGAGGGCCAACCGTAATAACATTAATTATATTTATAATTAATTGTACCTATAATTGTATTATAATTACATGATTAAATATTATGTGCAATCATCGACCCATATATTGTAAACATATTCAAAGAGGAGGTAAATTTAAGTTGAGTCATGAGATATTTTCAAGGAGAAAACAAAAATTGAGTATTGTTTTACCTTTGTGCATGTAATTTCTTTTTAACTGAAATCATCCGAAATTTTAAGATAAGATTTCCCAAAGGGCCGACGTGTTTTACCCACTGCTGTCGGGTTCTCGGGTGTGGTGGAATAAGTCCTTTCAGGTGAACCGTCGTGGACTCAGCACCCTGATCCCACTTCTTTCCGTCCTCTGGGCTTATGCTCTGTTTATACTCACTGTCTGTGTTTTAAATGGATAGTGACGGGCTTTCCCTTTTACTCATTTCCTAGCCAGGATGTGATCTGTGATTGAAAGTGGGGGAATTCTACAACCCAGTCTGAGCCCAAGGGGCAGATGC